ATAAAGATTATTGTACTGCGATTTGTTTGGCACAGTCTGAACTCAGGCGTGTGTGAAGGTTCTGGCGGCATACGCACACCAAACATAAAGTGGTAAATGTGTGGGAGTCGAGCGTACCTATAAATCAGAAGTCCCGACAAAGATGAACCAAAAGCGCACTCTGCTTCGTTCACTGAACAGCGTTCCCGAAAACGGTGCTCTACCGGGTGAGATAATCACACGGTAAATGTCTCTTCGTTTGGTGATGAAGCGTTCACAGTCGAGCTACCCAGTTCGTGGAATGAGCGAATACCCCACCCGTGTGAATCAATTTTATCAAATACTTCTGCTGTTATTCCACAGACTGAATAACACCGATCCTCTGACGTTCCAACGCTCCTAACATAGCATATCACACTCCTCGACTATTCCAGTGCAGCCTCCAGGGATTTTCATGCACCTTTGGTCACCCACTACTCACGACTGACACCTAAGCATCTAGTATTTCATTCGTTACAAGTTTGTTCGCGTCCTTGTTTGCGACATGTCCGCTTTAATTCGGACTCTTAACAACTCCAATGTGATTGTGGGATTTTCTTCTAACCAGGTGATCATTTCGTCGATCTCCGTGTCATTTAAAGTATTTTTCCTTCCTCCGCTTTTCGGTTGACGTTGGTACTGCAGTTCCTTGGCGTTAATCCAGTTGTAAGCGGTCTTATACTTTACTCCATTGTGTCTCACAACAACACGCCAATCCTCTACCTCTTCAAAAGCCTGAACAATTCGCTTGCGCACAGCGCTGACAGCACAGTTGTATCGGCTTTGAAGCATGATGAAAAAGTAAATGGAAGTGGATCAAAGAAAATATCTTATACCACACCTGCATAGGTGACTGAGGAATCGTTAATGTCCAAGCGAAGACTTTGAATACGCATGCCCCATGTAACGAAACGTGCATCGGATCGACTGCGTTGTGTTTCGTTCAGTTCTGTGGGCTGAGCCGGAAATGGGCGAGCCACACTTAAGGTGTAACTGGTTTTGGTTGCTAGGCCATTGATGACAGGCAGTCCATTCACCCATGTTCACCTCAAGAACTCCAACCTCTGTCACTGAACCAATTTTTTCATTCAAATAAGCCCATGATTCTCATGATGCTCAATCCAACTAAACATATGTGGAGCTTGGTTAAGAGCAAAATCAAGCGCGATTTGAGCGATACTTTTCCGAGCCTCCTTCAAGGGGATCCTGGAGGTATAATCAGTCAAGCGAAATGGCGAATGCAGTTCTTGGAGCAGTCTGTTGCGAGAGCGATATCTATCTTAAAATGATGTAGTCTACCTATTGTAGTCCTTCGGATTGAGTTTCGGTATTGCGATCCCTATTGTCTAACTGAGCGAATCGGTAATAATAATAACGCCAACGGTAGCCCTCCTGTTTAGGCTTATTTGCGCGACTCCCGCACTGCACTAGCCACTTTTTAAGCGGCACGTTATGCAGTGGAAATCATGTGTAGGTCAACAGATAACGTAACGTAACGCGGTGCGAAGAGG